AAATCAAGCTTAACCAACAAAGAGGCAGAAAAGTGCAGTTGAGGCAGTCAACTGTCGATAAATTCCTGTGTGAGCCAATCAAAATTAAGAACATTCACAAATTGAACTTGTGGCATATTCATAGAATAATTATTGGTAAAATCAGTTAGATTAACAACTTCTAATATATAGAAAAGCCAGTGTGTTTTGGTAACATTAAGTTCCAACAATGGCTTTTATATCATGTTGCTTAGCAACAGAAATATAATCTAATGTTGTTAGTCTGTACTGAAAATATAAAATGAAATGTATAAACAAAACTGGAAACTATTTGTTGAGTTCTTAATTTAGAGTCTGTTGATTATAGAGGTTTGTTTTTATTTAAAATGTTGGTGATATAAAAGAAAATAGCTTAATTCAGAAATAATTTAAGTTTAAAATTTAATCTATTTTTACTTTCATGATAAATTTTATGTAATAGTTAATCCCACACAATATCTTTACTTTAGGCTTATTATACCAACACTCACTAAACTTATAAGGTTTTATGGAACACACACACCCTCTCATGGCTCTCTTTCACCACTGTCTCTAAAATTGCAATGGACAGACAGTAATTGAATTACTCTATATGGATAAATGCATTTTGTCTTTTATGGCTACTCTTATTTCGAGAAATCACGTATGATGTAACACACACTGGCTTTTATATAGGTTAGATGATGTAGTTATTAGTACAGCTCAAAACATCTCATAAAAAAACTATATTTTTAATTTTCTTTTAAAAGGCACTAATTGTATCAGAAGATGACATCAGGAAACAGGAAGAGCGAGTTCAGCTAGCAAGAAAGAGACTTCAAGAAGCTCTCAATGACTTGGAAGGATAAACTGTTTACATTAAATGAATTAGTTTATTTGACAGTAGAAGTTTATATCAGCTGTTTCTAAAAAACAAGCATGTTACCTTTACCAAGAATACAAATAATTATTTAGAGGTCTTTGAAAAATATAAATCAGAATTTCTGAGTGGATTATTATCAAAGTAGAATGGTGCTGGAAGTTTCACTTTAACCAAACTTGTGAATATAAAGAAAAAGTTATTTTATATCTAATAATTTCTTTTATGAAATACTCTATAATGTTACACATGTAAAAATATTAATCAATTGGTTCAGAGTTTTTAATGAACCATAAAGACAGCATACTTGGAGATAAATATTTTACAAAATTTTAAGCTTCTGTTTCCAGTCTGACCCCCCCCCCCGACTTATTCATTATTATTACCAATTTATAATCTCAAAATTTCTTGGGACTTATATTTCACAGTTTAAAAAATTGGAAAACAAATGAACAGGTTTATTAATAATAATGATGACCTGTTTTTTGTATGACTTGTATCATAAAGTTGCTGCTCTTTATTTTATGCTGCTAGCGCTTATAACTTCCTTGGTTATAACAAAAAAAGTTATTTTCAAAGTTAAAGTAGTAAGAAATCATTTTGTTTCACTTCTGACATATAAAGCAAAGTTAGCCAGATATTTGTTTCATGTGCATGGGACGAACTTCCATCTTTGTCAGTAGTTTCCAGAATTTGTTCACTGACAATCAGTGAGTTTAAAGAATTCATGGAGATTCCTATGGAAAAGATCTAAAGGAATGAATTGATGGCAGTGTTGTTTTGTAGCCATGTACTTTATTGTCAAAATAAAAATAAGCCTATAAAATAAGAAAGCACATGTACTACAGTATAGAGACAGTTCACACTATGGACTTGGAATATTGTTTGTCCAGGTGAAATTAACAAAACATAAACCAACCAAAAAACGATTTTAAGCATTTTAAAAATGATGAATCAAGCAGACACTGACCAGAATTACACATCATAAAGGAAAAAAGTTTATTTTTTCCTTGTTCTGTATTAATTAATTTCTTTTTTATAGCATTTAGTTGTTTTGCTAGTATGGAACTGTCTCCATTGATAGTTTGGTTGACTTCACGTTATAAACTGTAACAAGCTGTTGATGTTATTAGAAACATCTCTTGCATTCTTACTTCCCCAGGATAATGTGATAACTAAAGAATCCTGAGGCATAAAACTAATGTTAAATTTAAAATAAATTTCTTGTTTCATAAAAAAACTTCAAGAAAATTGTTTAGATATCAGTTATTTCATTAAATGACACTCATTTAGCTCTTTTTGACTTTCAGCAGAGAAAATGAATATACCATTAAAAAAAACATTTATTTAGTAGTTAGTAATGTAGGACAGTAGATTTTTCAAGCATTCCTCTAAGTAAATGAGGTTCTCTTTTATAATTTGTTGTTTACATTAAGTGAACTTCTATTCATAGTAGAAATGCTAGAATCTTATATGCTTGTAAATAAGGGAGAGCAAAATAACATTGTTTTTAATTCACCAACGTTGGATTTGCTAGGCAGAGCTTACCTCTCCTATCTGATCTAAATTGGATGATTGCAAGATGTATCTGATATGTTTGAGTAGCACATAAGGTAACACATAAAGAGTTGTGTATTCATTAAAGATCAACATATTTTTATAGAGAAGGAAAACTGTAAAAAACATTTCAAATTAGCTTCAGCAACCAGAAGTAGAAAAAAAGGAATAATTTGTGTATCTTTTTACAAATGTATCGATCTGCCCAACATTTTCATTTATAGCCTTTAGAAAATCTGCAAACATTTATGGAACATGCCAAAGACAAGAAATAGGAATGCAATTGTGGCAAAGCTAAGATTGTGGATGTTTACTCATATTTATCACTGGTTAATGTACACATTATTTATATCATTAGAAAAATTCTTTTATTGTTTGTATTATTTTAAAGAACAAATGTCATTTAGTCACATTAATAATGTATTGAAAATAGTTCTGAAAGTATTTAAAACTGTCAAAGTTACCATCAGCTTTTAAAACAGGGTGATTGAATTTTACTAATTATGTTATATTGATTTAGGAATTCTAATATAACTTGTGTAAAATACTGATGCTTTTACTGGATAAGAATTAGTAGTTCCTGTGATTAAGTTATTTTGACATTGATATACATATGTGGGTGATATTTCTGTAATCATTTTATTCATTAACAACAGTAGCTTTTTCTTTCTGGTGTTTCCTGAATGTAGTTTGTGATAAGTAAAAGCTGTAAATATATATATATATGTGTGTGTGTGGTTTTAGCCTAACAGGTGTTTTCAAGGTGGTATGTAAAAACTGTGAATGTATATTATATACACCTGGAAAAAAGTTAAGCACCCCCAAATATTTTTCAGGATTGCTTATTGAAAATAAGGTTTAATTTTCATGATGTTGAGCAATGTTCATAATT